CCCCTGATTGATCTCGTTACTCCAATCTTGAGTTGATTTGTACTTTATATCTAGAATTTTATTTATTTTCCAAATTCAATTCCTCTGTTTTTGTTACATTTTATTCCAGCTCCAATGAATAACGTAACTATACTATATACATACTATGGTAGACAAAACTGTCAAAGTGGATCTAAATTTTAGGAAAATGCATTCAACTAATATTAGGTTTTTCTCCCCCACCAATGTTGCTATTATTTCCCCCACATTCTAAACGCAACTCAACAACATTGTCTGGAATAAGGCGGACTTTTTTAAAAAAGTACAGGAATCACCCCACCATTTAAACTCTCACTGAGTCTGAGAGAAATTAAAATCTTATTAACAAGTTATGTCCCCAATTGCATGTAGGTAAATACAGTACAATTGAGTGTTTGGAGCTTCCAGCTGCCATTTTATAGCAGAAATTTGTTTCAAAAATATTTACAAAAATAATACAATTCCATAGTACATACTTTTGTTTATCCAATTAGGATGTTTAATTCGTTGTAAATATATATCGGACAACCCTCCAGGTTGTTTCTTTTCGATCATGACGAGATGTGCTCAGCCTGCGTAGCGGCTCTCAAACGCAGGCTAAGATGTGCTGGGCGAAAATGACAAATTAAATTTTCTTTGACAATGACTGGACCTTATTCAAAAGGACAAATGCTCGTTATACCAGCCATTATCAAGAAACGTTTCTTGCAAACAAGCAAGTGAACTCGCCAAGATGAAGCAAGCAGGTGAACTCGCCAAGATGGACTTTGATGAAGTTTTACCCAAAACGTTGAAATTGGCTTGCTAATGAACGGCTACATACATTTTCGAATTACTAACTACTGTCTACTGAACACAAATTTTAACATTTTGTCGATTTTGTCAGGTCACAAATATTAGTTAGAAAGGGCTTTTAAGCCAATCTCGTACAATTCAAGCCTGCGATCCTAACGCAGAACATTGGCCTAGTTTCTGTGTAAATCGCTTCATTTCTTTCAGTCTCCATGGATGTAACTCTTCTATTTCCTTCTTGGCATTTCACGTAATTACTCGATCTAAGGAAATATCCCTATTGCCATGTCAATCCGCTTGAGGCAATTTCAAATCACCCAGATACACTTGCTATCTTCAGATACGATACTTTGTTGTTCACCAGCACGGCTTTCATGTGGAGACTGACTTGAATCTAGGTCTGATTGCATAAACAATCTGTCTGGACTGGACGAACACCTTGGCATAGTACCAGCACTGCTTGTCGGCTGCTCAGAAATCCATACATTTGAGAAAAGTCTTTCGAGTAAATTTGGCGTTCTTTTCTGAAATCCAATTTCTTTTTGTAAAAACTTTAAATTTTCTTTGGCGTTCACATTTCCGTTCTCAGCCGCTGTACTGTACCATCGTAATGCTTCATGCTTGTCAACAGACAGACCACCCAAGCCTTGCTCATGAAACACAGCATAATTATATTGAGCGCCAGCATGGCCATTTTCTGCAGCACGACCATACATCTGTTTGGCCTAGGGATAACAAAAGTACGAGGTTTCGTATCATATGAAACTCTAAGACACAGTAACAAATTTTCTAATTTAACCCCAAAATACTTCATATTAACAAATGCCGAATCTTTAGCACAACTTCAAAGGTACGAAAGAAATAGAGTACATGATTTTCTTACTTTTTCCATGTTTCTAGCTACGCCCAGTCCTCTTTCGTAACATATTCCAAGATGATATTGAGCTTTGGCGTCCTAAAGATAAACATATCATCGCAATTTTACTCACTGCACGTTCACTTTGCATTCCTTTTGAAATAAAAAATTATTATTGGTCATAAACTATAAAAATTTCCCGAGTAAAAAGTAAAAACTAACTTTCTGTTCAGAAGCCATCTTCAACCATTGAACACTGTTCTTCATGTCATAGTGCTTATTGCTGTCATTTGCATAGTATAAACCAAGAAACCTTTGAGCCTTGAAAAATAAGATTGAGACTAAGTTATAAAATCTTCAATGTAATTTACTGTAGGACAATTTAGCAAAGACAAAACGTCCTTCCAATGAAGAAAGAAGGTTTTATTCGACTAGGAATTATCTTTCAGGTGTCAAGTCATAGAGTCAAACTTGGCTAATACAAAATGTTCAAATTCCCAGTTTTAGGAACCCTTATTTACTCTTGTTGAACAGGCATAAGAATAAACAAAGGAATAAACAGGCATAAGAATAAACAAAGTTTTACATCTACGCGCTGTATTAGCAGGCATTCGTAAACTTATCTACTGTAGTTACAGAAACTAAGCATCTATGTATATAATTAGTACTTAAAGTTATACATATATATATTAGGTAGTAACGTTATGGACAACTTAAATGATAGAGGTGAAGGAGATATAAAGAGAATTATTAATTATATAGAAAGTATAATGATACCTTATTACCTTTACTAGACCTCCTTTGGCTGCTCTTTCCATCATCTCTAGTCCATCATTTTCCTTGCCTGAGTAATGTGTCCCTACGATACCAGAATGTTGAAAACAAACGGTGAGGGAGATATTATCACAATTTAAACATTGTACTACAAGGATACAAACAGCAGGATTCGTTTCTCTGCCTAGGACGACATCTATATAGTATATACCTCGGACCGAAGAAATTTGACAATTCATTGACACAGTTAACTAAATGCTCGAATCCCGCCGATTGCATTGACATTGTGCAAATTTGTAGGGGTGCACCGGAACTCGGTTCCGGCCGGAACCCCGATTTTTTAGAGTTCCGGCTCCGGCCGGAACTAATAAAAAAAGCATGGCCGGAACCGGAACTCTGTCGTTTTCAGAGAGATAGAATATCAAACGTTTTTGTGTCTAACAAAAGGTCATAGTAGGAAGAAATTTGGGCTATGCAAGGGAAATGTACACTATTAACACTTCATTATGACGTTTAACGTTTGTCAATCTTTTTATTCTAACACTTGCGAGCTCTCTCCTTGATGACTTGAAGTGTCTGCCTGTCTGGCAGCGGACAAAGTAACATATGATTATATTCCGGCCGGAACTTAAAAAACTGGTTCTGGTGCACCCCTACAAATTTGAGTAAAGTTTCGAATTCATCCGGTCACATGTAAATGGAGTTCACCTAAGAAAGCAAGAATTTTTCTCCCGGATTCAAAACATTTTCGTATTGAACCATTTGAACGTTTTAATTACATTGTCAAAGTAAAAAACGCCTCCACATGCGCAAAATGCTTTACCTTGTAGAAATATTATGCCAAGATTAAAGGCAGCATTTTGATGTCCATGTGATGCGGCCATTGTATATGAACTGACGGCCTATAGAAAGATTGATGGGAATTCGTTGCCAAACAGACAGTTAATGAAATGTAATGTCTTGCATTGTTTAAATACGGTCAAAGATCAGGGCTTGAAATAACAGCCGATCACCGATCATCAATGACCGGCAAGATATTGCTTATGATTGGTTGAAAAGCGGGGTTTTCAATTAGAAAAAGCATGGAAAGTCATGACTGCTATAATCACCATGATCGCAAATTGACTTTGGGAACCTTATTTCAAGCTTTGAAGATGGATACCTTGGAAATATCTTGCGCTGTTCCTAATCCCTCTTCATAACACAAACCCACATTAAAATGAGCTGCTACGTTCCCTTTCCTGCTAGCGCTCTGAAAGAACTTCAACGCCTAAAACATATCAAAGAGAACACGGTATTGTATAATCAATGAACATCAAAAGTTTGACTGACAATCAATGGACAACTTGCATGTTAGATTAAATTTTAATCTAAGTAAAGAGAAGGGAATCAAACACCACAGGTAAAAAGAACATAATGAAATTAGTAAAATTGCAAAATTTGGTTGCAAAATGTTGTAAAGTTTGGAAAATATAGTCGCCCAAAGTTTGCAAATTTTGTATATGTTTGTATTATACGTGCGGAAATTGTTAAAATGGTAACAATTTCCGCACGTAATACAAACATATACAAAATTTGCAAACTTCGCAAGGCTATATTTTCCGTATTTTACAACATTTCGTAACCAAATTTTGCAATTTTACTAATTTTAATAAGTTCTTTACGGGAATTTACTTTTTTTTGCCAGATCAAAACTTAATCTAACATGCAAGTTGTCTATTGCAATGGGTGACTCCAGCTATAGAGTATATTTTGATCAAGGAGAGAAGAACGAAATCCAACAACACAACAAGAAAGAGCGTCTTAGAATGAGTAAAACCGCAAAGATTGGTTGCTAAATGTTGTAAAATGAAGAAAATATAGCGGCCTGTGAAGTTCGCAAATTTTGTATATATTTAATTTATAGCCTATACCGCGGTAAAAATAACCACTTTCGGCTCAAAAATGGTTATTTTTCCCGCGCGTAATGCAAGTATATACAAAATTTGCGAACTTCACGGGGCTATATATTTTACTCATTTTACAGCAATTCGCAACCAAACTTTGCAATTTTACTCAAGTTTTAAGAAGCTCTTTCCAGCTATGGTAATGGGTTCCGTTCTTCTTGTCGAGATCAAAAATCATCGATAAATCATCCATTGGAAAATCTTTTCAACAAAATGATTAAATAAATTAAGTCTGAAATTGACAAGTCTGTGTATTTTCCTTTTGAATTATGATGGGAAAACGTGTCTTTCAGATAAGGCTTTTAGGAGGAAACAACTTCGTCTTTGGCATCCAAAATCATTGTTAGCCACAAGCAGGTGGAATCCTATAGCCTTTCCTACAATTTGATTGGCTGTAGCAGATGTACCAAACGTTTGCTGAATAATAATTTACAATAATTATATCGTCTTTGTATCATAAATTAAATCTTCTACTTGTTTTATCAAAGTTAAAGTTAGAATAAAATTATGTTATTTCTAATTCTGAGTGTACCGCTAACTGTTTACTCACGTAGCGAAGATGAATGGCTTTAGTCGACTTGATAAAAAGTAAATACGTCATTTACCGTTTAAGCCGTCAGCCCCGATAGAAAAATATTTCCCTCTGTCTCAAAACCGTCCCTTGTCCTTGAAGAAACATTTTCCTATCAGGTAAATAACATAATATCTAATCTGTCGCAAACAAAATCTCTACTATGCGTATGGTATAATCTAGAGTACCACACGGGAGAGTAGGAACCGGTAGGGCCAAGGGGGGCTAGCCCCCCCCCCCCAAGTTTTCAGAAGACACATAAAAAAGTGCCCTTCACTAGATAAATGTACATGAAATAAATACATTTATTATATAAAGTATAGTGCTTTATAGAGATTTCGAGCATTGATAAAAGTGATAATCTCACATGTGAGATTATTCATGCTAATCTCACATGTGAAAATGATCGCTTTTCAATTATCTGTAAAAATTATCGCTTTTCAAAGACTGTCCTTTATATAATAAACAGAAAAATACATGGGTGCTTGGAAATACCAGATTTATTTCTCGTGTTGAACATGATATTTCACTCGTTCGCTGCGCTCACTCGTGAGATATCATGTTCAACACTCGAAATAAATCTGGTATTTCCGCGCACCCATGTATTATTCTCTATTTAACTTTTGGACAATGTTTTTTACAAAAAATGTGATCAAAAACGTTGATTGTTTTGATGCTTCCTACTCCCCTGGTACCACATTAAGCACTCACCTTCTCATATAACTTGAGTGTTGAAAATCGTATTGCCAAAGCATTTTCTGTAACAGCTGTACAATCTGCCATAGCATTTTCAAAAGATGAGCATGCTGCATCCAGGGGATCAATGGGCTGTGAAATGTGCAACAAATATATATTAGGTTTGTATATCTAAATAATCTAATACAGCGCTGACTGGTATACTCAGAGTATTAAAATGTCCAGATGTACAATTTATACACCATGTGGGAAATTGATCAATCAGGAGTTAGCTGATCATGCAGGAACAAAGGATTTTATCTGAATGTGTCTGTATGCATGTGTGTGGTGTCAGCATAAAAAATCAAACATATTAATACAAATAAAGTGTGGGGAATAGTGGCATACATTTCTGTTTAATGTCTTCATTTAGAAATTATCTAATTACTTGATGTGCCCTACTCATTATTACTCTGACTGTCTAACATAAAATGATTTTATTCTTCAAGGGGAGAGCACTAGCTGCCACTCAATGGGTTAATAAAAAGTTCAAGTTATGAACCTCACCTTAGCTGGACTATTTGTTGGCAAAACGCGAAGAGGTTCACTAACATTAACAAAATCATAAATATTCCAAACACTTGTGGCTTTGTTGTCACTTTTTCTTCCATCTTTGAATAACAGTCGATGCCATGAAATCAAACTGGACACAACAACAACTCCATAACACCACTAAAATACATAGTATTTTCATTTTTATTGCACAATTAGCTGTACCCAAGTCACTTCAACCCACAACCTCGGTAAATGCGGTGGCAGGATCGGGTGGAATTCTAATATTGTAGACCTGTGTAGGTGTTAAGGGACATGCTCTGGCACTCAGTGGGTTACATGCAACACAATTTATAAGGGAAATTGGCTTATTGGAGAACTTGCATGCAGTCTATGCAATCTCAAGTTGATTATTCCAAGCAAGTTTTGTGATCTCTGTTGCCAAAATATAACACACCTTTTAAATCCTCTATTAATTACCATGGGGGCATATTTATTTCAAACAAGTTTGAGAGGATGGGGGGTTAATTAATAGAGAAAGAGGGATAAATTAATATCTTCCTTTTTAGAGAAGGAACCTTATAGAGTAGAGAGAGGTACGTGACTAATTGAGAGGGGGCTTAATTAATAGATCGAGGCTTTACAATTACAGCATGGTACACAGTCACTTAAATTCTCAATTAATTTGTACATATGAGCATTATTAATTACCTTCTGAAAATCCATGAAAATATTTTTGAATCCAAATCTAGATCCTTTCCCATTTCTCCCTGTTTTAGTGCATATTGTCAAGTCTGAATTCTTGCTTCCTTGAGCAGGGTCAGTGTGTCTGTTGATGTCATCCAATAAATTTTGGATGAAAGGAATATGAGTTTCCACTTTTGATGGATGCTTGTCGTTACAACCATCATGTAGCTTTAACAAAAGTCCAACAACTGTATTCTGTGCCTTTCCAACATTTTGATTAGTTATGACATTTTGTGAATCTGTGACACTTGGTCTCACGTTACCATCACTGCACTCATGCCCTGCCTTGTGAACACTGCATATCCAAGATGAGCCATATCCACTTGAATTTCTTAACAATCCAACTGTATATTGTGCACATGTAAGAGCAAATTATATACCGGTAATAAGAATTAGTAACATGGCCGGATTGTGAGGGGAAGTGGGGGGAGGTGGGCACCTTCCTGAGGTCGTTTTGCACCTCCTCTGAGATTTTTTTGCACCACCTCTGAAAAGTCATGTACCTCTCCTTGGGAATCATGGTAATAGAAGTTAAAATTTGACAAATTGCTTTGTGTTTGTAAGAACGTTTTTCGAAAGAAACTTTGTAGTAATCAAGGGTGGGTTGTAGCGAAGTAGTTGTAGTTCGCTACTGTAGCGAACTACAATTTTCAAGTAGCCAGTAGTTTTTGACTACTTTTTTAAAACAGTAGTTGTAGTTATAGCGAACTACATTTTGCCTCAAAGTAGCCAAGTAGTTGACTACTTTTCAAACAGCGATTCGCTATTCGCTACTTTTTAAAATTGTTAGCAACTTGATAGAATAGCGTGATATTGAGAGACGGTTTGCTTAAAATCAATACTCAATAGTCAATTTGCACTCCTGAACACTGTAGTGCTTACAAAAATGTTGCTTTGTGTTTACTGTTGCTACTCGTAAATCGATTTGTTATAGATTGCATTACAGCCTGAGTTAGTAGATGCTCCAAATATAGTAAAACTAAAAAATATAGTGTAGCGAAATAGCGAAATAGTTCGCTACATTTTTTAAGCAGTAGCTGTAGTCAATAGCGAACTACCTTTGTTCAAAAGTAGCAGTAGTTGTAGCTGACTACATATTTTTGAAGTAGCTGTAGTTATAGCGAACTACAAAAATTTTGTAGTCAACCCACCCTTGGTAGTAATGCATTTAATGGCATAATTGGATATTAATTAAGTTAATTATACAGTCATAATTCACGAATATGTGCATACGTCACGTAGTTGACTTTATGGGGGCAGGGGTACATTCTAACTCCATTCCAACATTCCATGGGAGCCATGACCTAGGATTGCTGCACTTCCTCCTGCCCCAGCATTTCCACCAAATTCAAGCCTTGATTATTAATTAATAGTAAATCCCAAAATGAAAACACTAGATGTTAATTACACTTTTGCAATGTTTCATCACTGTAGTTGTGTGTGCATTGGTATATTTTTAAAACTTTGAATCATGACATCACTTTTCACATTGTTTTAATTGTCTACATTATTTGACAACGGAAGACAGTACCCCCAAAATGGCAGATATTGTTCTGTGTGTCAGTGAGAATTGCTCATTGCTTGTGTATCATATATGCTCTGACATGGCAATCCAAAGCTTCCCGCAATCCTTGTCAAAATTTCAAACAATTTAATTTTGGGCAACAAATGCAAAAAATGGGGAGGTACAGTCTACTAGCTAGTCTAGGTTGATGATTGACACTCTTTTTCAAAAGCACTGTAAAATTCACCACTTGCTACCATTTTGATTTACTATCTGCACCTCCCTTACAAATGAGTTTGGGTCAAAATTTTACCCGTAGGAATCAGATATTCTATAGTTGGAAGTCGGGGGAGGACTATTATTAAAAAGCGACCTATATGAAGTCTTTCAACATATAACCTAGTGTGGGAGGTGTGATATATTAAAGGAAAATTCAAAAAGTGACCTCTGGAAATTGGCTTTATCCTGCAACAAAAATGGCCCACAGGTTATGCACTAGTCAATTGAAACCCCAGCCCCAGCCCCCCCCCCCCCTGGGACAGGGTGGGGAATTAACGGGCGAATGGCCGGGGATAACACGGGTTTAATGCACCATTTCCCCCGGAGTACAGGATAAATAATAAGTCAATTTATTAGCTGGGACAATAGCCAGGACTTTAACGCACGGCTGATATGAAAGTGGGCTGGAATGAGTTTATCCTCATGGCATTTATAAACTTTTGTCCGTTTTATCATTGTTTCCTCATAGTTTTTCTTAAATGATGACTGCAAGATAGTCGAAACATACGTAGATTATTCAGTATCTTTTGATGCGGATCAAAGTTTAAGATCAAGAATTGCCTTGAATTAATTCACATGTTGTGAACATTTTATAGTTCAACGATTTCCCATTTCCCAAGTCAAGAAAATTTGCAAAGTGCCGGGGCCATAGGAGCGGTAAGCTTTAACAGTCAATATTCCCCCGGTAGCGGGGAAATTAGGCCACTACAAGTTAATGTTTAGTTTCTGGTCCACCACCCGCATCCTTTCTCCGTAAAGTATTATTTCAGGACTATTTTGTTGTTTACAATTGATTTCTAGTTCTTGAAAATTTTCGCAAAGGATTTAACTCATAGAACGATAAATATTCAATTTACATTAAAAAGACCTAGCAAATGCAATAAAAACAATGACCACATTTTTCAATTTTAATTAATATCAAAGTATAGTAAGCTTATATATAATCTTATTAAAACAAGTAAAACAACAAATTAAAGTAATATGAAGGCTTTTTCTAGTCTAATATTTACTGTTCATAAACCATAACTGTCTATGCAGTGTCTACTGTGTCTCCACTGGCACAAATGCTGTGGGCACACAGCGCAAGCAAAACCTGCAATTTCATTGTTTAGCGGATTAATACATAAATATTAGCTTTTGTATCATATTAAATTCGTATTTAATTCTTTTAAAAACTACATTTTCCAGGAATTGAAATATTTTTTTTTATAAAAGCTATAGACACATGCGAAGCAATGTCACAATAGTCATCGAGCATGACGATAATTTCGATATATTGTCCCTCAAGTTTCTACCTTCGATACGGTAATTGCGATTGAAAATATCGCAATAAATCAAAATATCGAAAAATCGCCCAACCCTAAGGCGGACCAGAAACTAAAGATATTATATACCAAACATTCCAACCGTCCCGGTTTACCCTTCTTCTTACTGTCCCGGTTTCTGTAGTATTTTAATAGTTGTATTCTTCAAATAAGGCTCATGTAACAAATATTAATGAAATTTGTTTGGTTCAATACATATTAATGAAATGGGAGCTTCTAGTTGCCCCAAACAATTACCGAGTTTGTCGCCGATCGTTGTAATTCTCATGACATACGTTGTTTTGACAATTTAGTGTTCGTTTTCAATTCTTATTCATTTTGCCAGGGCTACATGAAGTAAAGCAACATAACAGAAGCCGGCGCAATAGTCGCGGGCTCTTGAATACAAGAGGATCACAGTTCAAAAGACCCGAGGCTGGTTGTTCAAAAACCGATCAGCTTTACCCTAGGTTAACCTAAAATTCAAAGCAAACTTCCCAACAGCTTGGTTATAAACTTTAAAAGATTTCTTGAGTTCATAATTCTTGGGTGGATCCGTGAGAGTTCTCTTCTCTGAAGTTTTGAAATAAACAGATATATGTAGAAATACAGAAACTAAAACAGCAGGTTAAATTTTAACCGAGGGTTAGCACTAATCCAGCTTTGAACAACCGGCCCCAGTAGTAAGGTTAGCACTATTTTCCATCCAGCAAACTGACCTGACGTCATTTTCGGAAGATAGAAGAGGCGTTAAATGGCTATGTAACTAACCCAAACCCTACCCCTACTCTAACCCTAACCAAAACCCTAACTCTAACCCTAACCAAATTAATAAGAAAATAAAAAAAAACAACTTTAGAAAATCGATAGGGCAGTTTGCTGGATGGAAAAAAGTGCTAACCCAGTAGTAAAACGAAACAATTTCGCCACTCGCCAGTACAGTACTTCAATGAAATTAAAGCTTGTTGAGAAGATGTTATATTACTTATGGGTTCTCAAACTCAACTCAGCCAATTTTAACACTAACCCAAATAGACACCACATCAATGAGAAAAGCGCGGCATTTATTCGAGGGAGGCGTTTATTCGAGGGAGGCGTTTATTTAAGTAAGATGGGAAAATTGGGAAGTGTCCCGGTTTTGAAGACTCGGAGGTTGGAATGTCTGTATAAACTTGTAGTGGCCTTACCAAAATTTAACATTGTCAAAATATTAATTTCCCCGCCCTGTCCCGGGGGGCCGGGGTTTCAATTGACTAGTGCATTTATAGACTGTGTTGCATACTTCAAAACACATGTTTTATCATGTGTTGACTTTTGAAGTATGCGACACAGGCTACCTACAGCCTACAGGTAGGAATCTGATCACCCATAGCAGAGGGGTATAAATGATAATAAATAGAATGACCCATACTTTTCGTGCATCCGAAGCTTTAATAAACTTCAATTGGATAATAAATTTGATGATTTTCAGCATTTTATTTATTTACTCAAAATTCTAAGAGTATTTTAATCATAATACACATACTGCACCTTGTTTATGAAGAACTGACACGACAAATGTCCTCCACATTTTTCACTTCTTAATATTAAACGTGTACTATTATGCATCCAAGTTGTAATAATTCTTTAAACGAAGCCAAAAACGTCAATACAATGCACAAAGTCGAACAAAATCATCCGGTGCACATGTCGGCACATGTGCATTACATCATCGACAAAAGCACATTACATCATATCATTCTTTCCGACTGTCAAAATATCTGTGGTGTAAGATGAAGTACGCACCACTTGCATGCGAAGATTGCGGGCACGTCACACACCCCAGCGCAAAAAAAACGGAGAAAGTGGACACCAAAAAAACTGAAAAGTTGAAAAACGACTGAACATGTAGGATAAAACAAGGGGACATCTCTTCCGTTTGACTACCTTTACTCAACACTATATAATAACGTTGATGCTGGTATACTTCAAACAAGTCACATTGAGACATTTAATATACTTGAAATATGCAACTGTGGAATGCTGATAAGCAAAATTATGTACTCTATCACTAGTATTTTGACATGCTACTTGAAAAGCATTAGGAACAGATCTATCATTAGATTTCACAAACATCTTTGTTGTCAACTGTTTCCATTTAACACAGTTTAAATTTATAAAATTGTTGAATTATATATAGTTCTGTATCTAAATATACAACTTCTATTATTTAACTAGATGACCGTGTTTTATAACGCAAATTAAAGAGTTTATGATCTATGACGCAGCAAATCAACGACGCCCCTACGAAACAAAGAAATTCTTCAGGCAACTCAAAAAGGAATAATTTGTGGTCCAAAGGGTATTCTTTCAACAACGTTAAACAATTAAGCAATATCACGTCTTTCGAACAACATGAAAGCTTCAATACCTGGGGAGCTTATTTCCGTTGACTTGAATCTATAAATTCGTTGCATTTATTTTTAATGCGACGTTGCCGAAGTATTTCACGGGCTTCGTCGCAAATTCAGAGAAATTGGCTTCGAGATTCTGTCCGAATAATGATTAATGAATAATGTTCTGAAAATAAAATTCAGACCATTAATTCAACGAATTATAAAAGCCTGGTCAAACGAGAATGAGAGTTGCCAGTTGATTAGATTTGCCAACTCTCACGCGGGCTTAAATTCGATGGAAATTCGACGCAAGTTGAGCCCCTAATATTAAACAGCTCATCGCTTTAACAGCCAAACTTAACTGTTTGCAAAGCTGTTTGAAAAGCTTCAAACATTTATAGTATAAGGTTCATTATTGAGCCGAATTCAGACCGCGTTCGTCGAGTTTGCGGCGTCGCAGATCTGAAATTCTCTACTTTTATATCAACTGCAGTCAAAATATTTATATACGCTCTATATAGCCATACATCAAAATATTTTGTGATTGAAAACGTTTATTATTTCAATACAACATAAAGTTTACTGTGGATATCCTGGGTTATAAGGTGGTGGGTTGCTAGCTTCGTCGTAGGTCGGTGGGGCTGTTGATGGATAACCAGTATTTGCCTGAGAAGGATATGGCGCTACACTGCCTTGAACGGCGCTAGGATATGGTGCTGCTCCCGATTGTGGATACTGTGCTACGCCTGCTGGTTGCAGATACGAAGCTCCATAACCTGCTTGCACACTTGCAGCCGGATAACTTGATACGCCTGTTGTTGTTGTTTGTGCTACATGTCCGCCATACCGAATTACAGTCCCTTGACTTCGGTTTTGGAAAGGACCACAAGCACAGCAAAAGCACAAACAACATGATATTATAATTCCTCCAATAATCAAACATCCAATGACAATTCCTGCTATTGCTGCGCCAGAAATACACGTTGAATCCTCAGAAATACACGTTCCATGGCAACATTTTTCCCTCAGATAACTACCTAAGTTACAATTATAATCGCTGTCACAGGCTGTAGATAACGCAACCCACGAATAAATACAACACAAATATACTAGCCAAATGTTTCGATACCCTGTAACCAGTTTCATTTCATAGGGTTAATAATGGAAGTGTAAACTCAATGAGATATTGACCACAAAGTCACTGCGTCAAATCTAAAATGTCAACTTTGACTTTGTTATGTTGCAATCAACACGACGTCATGGGCTGAGTCATTATTAAATATTTTAGATTTTAATTGTTTCAATGATTTTTTAAAGTGGAGCCCGTATGTTACATAATATTGATTTTTCAGATGGTCAGATGGAGTGATAATATTGTAATACAGCTTTTACACATTTAATATCGTGTTTTAGCCAGTATTTCAAAATACATTTTTCCTCGCATTTTTCTATACTATACGCGATAAATCGTGGAGGCCTTGTGGGCGCTTTGTGCGTCTTAATAGTTTGTGTCATTTTTTGGCGAGAAAACCCACAAGGAAAACCCAGAGGTGAAAAGCAAAAATAATAGGCAGGTGGCGAAGAGGGATAAGTGTTCGTCCATTTACCCATGTGGGATTTCTTAATAAGAAATTAAAAATTAGTTAAAATACGCATGCGTATAAGTACAGAGCGCTCGCACAAGCATTTTCTGTTGTGTACATGTGTTTTGAAAATCAATAGTTTTGGGATAGAAATTGTGAGTGTTGTGAGTGATCAAATAACCGGTTCAAAGTTTCCCGAATTTTCTCTGGTGATCTATTTTCTCTGTTTTCTCTATTTATCAGTATTAGCTTTATGTACCGATCAATTCGAAACTTCAACATCCCCCCCCCCCCGAGTATATCCTGGGAATTTTACTTCAAGTCTTCTCCAGAGAGTAGCGAATTTGACGTTCTGTCGCTCTACGTCTTCCATGTGGTGCACTGGTGGGGTCATGATAAGGGTGGGGTCGTGGGGAACAGTGTTGCCAACTGTAATTTTGTAAAAATCCCAAGTATAAGCTCCCAAAATATCCCGAGATTTCCTAAAAAATCCCGATATTCCCAGTTTTTTACGTCATTATTCGTCATTATAATTTAGGTGGTTTTCGCGCCAATTTCGGGGAAGATACTAAGATAGTCAAGATAGCCTCGTACGTCATGTTGTAAAAAACGAAATCTGGCATTAAATACAAGCGGACAAGCATAGATTTTTAGCAAAATTGTTTATTTCTAGTCAATTTTACCAAAAAATCAATTTCGAAACTTCGAACTTCCTAGTTCTCAAAAATCAAAAACAATCCCGAGATTGACTTTTAAAAATAAAAATCGTAAAAAAAATCCCGACTGCCCCCCCCCCCCCCCCGTTTAAAAATTCCCGAGATCTCGGGATAAAATTCCGGACTTGGCAACACTGATTTTGCCCGTTTTCGCGTGCTTCCTGCATGCAGGCTACTAATTATTAAAACACTACAGAATTAAGCCGGTTTTCCACTTCGCTCGTACATGTTTGATATATGCGCATTATAGCTGTCTCGTACCCAGGCGTCTCTTTGTAAAAAAAAACAGTGATGCGCATATGACGAGTTTACATGAAGTATTGTAGTGGGGAGAGATGGGCGAAGGGGCTGATGGGAAGAGTTCTCAACAGCCCCTTCGCGCGTCGCCTGCCTTCCTGAATACTTCATGTATTATAATTATTTAAAGCGCCTGGGTCGGACGTTTGTTACTGTAAAGGATATAAGGATCTGGCCGCGGTTGACCAAGAAGGTTACTACAGCTAGGAATGTTCTCCACTATTCTTACGTTTAGACTATCATTTTACAAGAACTTTCAAATGCTTCCCCAACTGAATTTATTAGCGATTCTTTGCAATTTCAGGTCTCTTCATTTTAAGGTAGTTTATGCAATATGTGGGCGATCCATGTCTAGTTTATATTAACTTTGGAAAGTGTAAGGATGGTTTGGAACGCATTGATCGTGTGTTGTAATTTTGTGTTGTAGCTTTGTTAAAGTTGGTAGGACTTAATTTGGGACTCCTCAGTCCTGTTGTCTGTACCTTCAATCGTTTTGTTGATTGTAAAGTTTATTAATTTAAATTAAATTCCACGACTCTATTGGCGACGCCATCTTGCCAAGTGGGGCAAACACATGAAATGGTAGAACTATTGCCATTGCCTCGTCCCAATGAGGGGACTGTTGCTCTACAGAGTGTCTCGAAAAAAAACTATACCTTTTGAAATTTTCCTATTGTAATAATTTGAATGCCTGAGCATGTATTTACATGCTGAACCCATGAAAGCGTAAAATACAGGATGTATTGAAAAACGTGGGCTCAGTATACAGGGGGCGCTTTCCATTTGACGGAAATTCCGTAAATCTTGCTTGAAAATCAAACGGAACACGTTAATTTCTGGAATGATGTTTCTTTAATTTCGAAGAATTTGACACTGCCGCTCAAATCTCTTCTTTCAGCATTCGGCGAAATAAATCCAGACTCGAGGCACTGAAATGGTCGAGAAAACGCCATTTTCGTTTGCTCAAAAAACGTTTGGAAAGCAGCAACGTTGGTTGGGAAATGTTTTAATGGCGTGTAAAAATTTCGAAAATTCCGGAATTTCTAATTTGTGGACAACCTCGAGAGATTGTACGGAATTTTCGAAACAGCATTCCAGAAATTAACGTGTTTCATTTGATTTTCAAGCAAGATTTCTCAAATTTCCGTCAAATGGAAAGCGCCCAGGGTGTCCCCCAAAAAACGAAAACTATTGAAATAACGTATTGTTAGAATTTGAATGCCTCAGCACTCTTCTGAACACACACGTACATCAAAGCTTCACGTAAGTAAATTTTATGCATCTTTATGCAAGAAACTGCTTTAAATTCCCATTTAAGAAACTGCTTTAAATTCCCATTTAAGAAACTGCTTTAAATTCCCAAGAGCAGAAAATCGTGCGCTTTACAAAGATATTTAAAGTTTTTAATAAGTCAATATTTAATATATGCACCCTGTCAATATTTTACGCATCTTTGCGTTCAGCTTGGTGCTAGGGTATTCAAATTTTAACAATACTGTAGTAATTAATAAGGCATTCAAACTCCAACAATTATATAAAGGCTTGATTTCAAAAAGTATACTTTTTTGGGACACCCTGTATTGTGTTTGCCCCACTTGGCAAGATGGCGTCGTTTGAGTTTGGGAAATTGTTTCCACTATTCTACCTTATAAGTATCCAAAGAAGCCATATATATCAAAAACTGGATACTGATAGCTGTTTTGCGAAATTGGGAGCAATTTCAAATCTAGCTGTTCAGTTTTTTTATGCACCCTGTATAGTCAATACACCTCCCTCATCAAACGTGAAATAAGACCCCTTGGTTCAAAGGTAATTTACGATATGCCCGTGCACGGTACAGTCGGTACAGAACCGCAATATTCATAAATCATAAGTGACATATGATTTCATAAGAGTGAGATTACTTCACTTCGTTGTCTCGCACTCATGACTATCATTAACAAATACCTGAAAGCAATGACCGATTCAACAAGAAGGCAATTAATTCTTGATTTTGTCATGCAAATGACCGCGGTCTCAGCTTTAAATTATTACCGCCAATACCGGTAGTCAGCATTGTCTAGAAAGAAATTAGGACCGTGGCAACTGCTCGTCTATTTAAGATCAGAGTTTGGTTGGGACAAAATCAAAGCCGAACTGACACGGTTATGACTTCCCAAGAACGGTTTTTTGAACACACACATTTCCGTTCGTTGTCTTCGAATTTATTACCGAGAAAGCTAATTTAATAAGTTGTTGGATGCCGCAAGAATCATACAACATTAATATCAAGAGGTAAGCGGCAAGCGACACGAGTGTTTGTTTAACAATAAGTTAAAGGACGAAGTAATAATAAGACTATCTGTAGCCAATGGCCCGGTAATAAAAATTTAAGGTGGTAGGTAATGCAGTTGGCAAGGCGTTCCAGTTTTTTAGTTCAGTGATTTTCCGGCTATTAATTCCATGGCGGGAGCGATCTTATTATCCACTTACTGATAGTTGTGTGCATACCACACGGCTTCGCTTGTTTACTTGGTTACAACTCTTATCTCTGTTGATACTATGTCTAATTCTTCAATAAACCTAAATACATAGATATCTATGCCTAAATAGCATCAATTGGCTGAAGAGTGGCGCGTTGTTTGGTTGAATTTTTCACATATGGTATATAGATAGTCGTAGAAAACGGCTAAAGGCATCTTTGAGAATGATAAAATAATATATAGTAGGGTTACAGGCCCGTTATAGCAATCGAACTTCAGTAAATCGTATCTTGAACATTATAAATATTCTTTATGTATATTTTAAAAATCCTCTGCCGTGAATAGAAACTTTGAACTTGAACGACATGAACTTGTGGTTAGCTATAGAGCTCGGCAACGGCCTCTGTACGTATAGCTCCGTTGGTTAGAGCGCTGCCCCGGAATCGCAGGGCCGAAGGTTCGATTCCTGCCAGGGACCTAAAGTTGCATTTTTCGCAGTTGTTCCTGGTTAGATCTAACAAATGTATATAAATTTTTACTCGATAATTCCATCTACAATGCCCATAGATATAAGATATCTATGACAATGCCCTTCAACTATATTCAATCTAAGAAATTAAGTTAGTCCTTGAATACGGTTTTTAAGTATACTATAAGCCTGATCTGTACTCCTGCAGTGTAGTACAAGAAAGCTAGTCTCATGGCAGATTTATCAGAAAATACTTAAATTCAGGTTATTTCATTACAATCCTCCATAAAAATTCGGGAAAACTTCCAACTGCCCCCCGGAGGGCATCAGTCCCGTACGCTTATGGCCGCATAGTATAAGCCAATTCGTTTGAAATTTGAAAAAGGTGCAACAGAGAAATAAAAACACTCTCGCAATTGTTTAATAGATTTTTTTGAAATCTTGCAGGATTTTCCGTACTTTGAAAGATGTCATCAACAGATACAAGTCACGCAGGCGAGATTCTTGATCGTATTCAACATCACAAAGGTGTACGCGGAGTGATCGTTGTGAATTCTGATTCAATGTCTGTTCGCAGCACTCTGGACAATTCAGCTACAGTACAATACATTGGCATGGCTAAGACTCTCACTACTATGTCTCGTAGTCTCGTACGTGACATCAATCCTCAAGATGACCTTGCAATACTGCGCGTGCGTACAAAGAAGAGTGAGATAATTATCGCACCAGAACGAACTGCTGATGATAGAGAGTATCAAGTGATTGCAATACAAGACTACGAGTGAAAATAAGACTGATCCAAAACTTTCGTATAACATGCATTAAAATGAAACACATAGCAATGAAAATCTAGACGATGACTTCAGTTTACAAAGCACGCTAGGGCAACCTAGGGCACATACGTCTTATAATTTATTACCACAGCACGGGATATCATAAGTAATGAAAACAGAAATGAAAATTAAAAGTGACTGATGTTTACTCTCTTTGATGGTGAAGGACAAAACCTTTAGCAACTTTACACATTTAATTATTTATTTTCCTCGCAAAAAAACTGCCTCGTGGTTATTAGTGGCATGAGGTAGGGCAGAAGCTACTTGTGAGCTTATAATTAAGCAAGCGTTGACGTCACCCGAAAATTGTTATAGGACTAATTTTGGCGGCATTTTGAATCACAGTACTCGTGAAAGGAAGCAAATAACTCTAAAAATCTTATGTTTTGTCACATGAGTAAAGTTGAAGATTACCACAAACTGATACAAACACAGTTTTTAATCCAGTCCCCCCTGGAAATCTGACGGCCCACCCCTAAAGATATGGTTTATTTTCATAACCCCCCCCCCCAAAAAAAAAATAAATAAATAAAACTTTGAACCATCAAGCGTTTATGATAAATAAACCAAGTACAACTACCCGGTATGTACCAAGTACATTGGGAATTGAAACTGCCCGAATCTTTCTGAATTTACAAGGCTATAAGGACTAATATAAGGTGAGGATGCATAAAGTCATAAATGTGTTCATTAAATTTAGACTCCTACCTTTTAAGCATGGATCCCCCCAAAAGTGCCCCCTATATAGTAGTGCCCTTTTTTTGGCATCTGTATTTACCGGCCTTAGGATCAGATGAAAGCAGAAGTCAAAGCAGATGTGGTCTCGTTTCATCTTAGTGCCGGTATAATTTTCCGTGGCCTGTAGTAGAACGTTCCGTTGGCGACTAAATCTGGCCGCATCAAGTTGTCCATAACATGTACGACGTCTATTAGGTTTTCGCCCACGAGAATCTGTTTTGGTGTGGCACTAACGTAAAAATAAGCGCACTGAAGAGCTTATTCTCGTTAGATTATATTGACCTTATAATAATTACCGGTAACTTGGCTGTGGCCGAGACGTTGCTGTTTCGTCTATAAATCTGTATAGTTCTACCACTGATCTACAGTGAACTCACTGTAGATCAGAACCAGTCACCAGTGAGAATCGCGTTCTGGCTTATGCTTTACTGACCATTGACTCGGTAGAAGCCGAGAAGTTTATTCAGTTACCTGTAGTTGTGCCTCGTAACTAACTGCATGGGTAGGGATTCAATTGCAAACGTCCCATGTTCAGACGACTACACCCAATATATATGGCCAGTATAAATTATGCGGATTATACCTATTTGACATTGTGAAGATGCTAAAATTAAAGCAAAATAGCAAACGCCATATAGACATTGCGAAGTACTATTTAAAAAACGAGCAGGAGTGTTTTATTAGGTTTAAAGCCACGAGCGCGAGTGGCTTTAGACCTAATAAAACACGACCTGCGAGTTTTTTAAATGGCTTCAAAAACGTTTGCATAATAAGTCAAATCTTTATATAAAAGTCTTTATATAAAAATCTTTATATAAAAATCTTTATATAAAAATCTTTATATAAAAATCTTTATATAGTTTGCATAACAATAGTCTTTTGTTAAAGTGTTCTTTAGCTGGTATAAAGACGTATGCAGGTGACTAATTTCTTACTCAAGATTGGATAATTGCTTCATGAATTATTAATGAGTTTTTGAAATTCAGATAACGAATGCCGGTTCTTAATCGTTCTGACGCCGGATCTTTCAATTGCCTATGTAAGACAGTCAATGGTATTACTAATTTACTATTAGTGCAGGCATTCAGAACTTGTTATTTTTGTTTTCTCTATGATTGCGCCAATCGTTAAGCGTAATCGTCACCCTCGAAAACTTTTCCCTTTTCCTAGGCAGTGACCATTGTGCTGTTTGTGCTCTTGGCAATTAATGCTTCTCAAAGTTGTGACACCTGCGACCCTGAGATTCCGGTGCAGCCTCTATTTAACCAATTGAGCTACGAAGATTTTGTTGGCATCTCACTTGGGTACATCTCACCCTTCAACTATTATTCAATTGAGTGAGATGCCATCATTCCAACAAAATCATGATAAGTTATAGTCCTTTTTAGTGATGATGATAATCTTTATTTAACCACGCTAACATTGTCAGCTAAAGCTGGTTTCCACAATGGGCGTGTGAACAAAAGTAAATTTACAAAAAAGATAAAGGTAGTAAGAAATTGCGTGCATATATGTGAACAAGAAAATATTCTATAATATACGTTAATTTACTATTTACAGTCATGCATTTAATAACAATGGGTAGCGATTTTCCTTTCCATATGAAAGCTCCGTCATACATGAAACTCTTTTTTAAACTGTTCGAACGTGGCTGTGGCAACCGTAATGTGGTTGAGCTGTCACGAAGGTTATGATTTAATATTATATAATACCTTATTAAATTCTAATCGTTTAATTGGCTGTTTATGGTCACGTGATATTGAATAGAAAATTCCATTTCCCAAGAGTGCAATAGAACACGTTCCATAGTTGCACTCTCCGGGAGTGCAATGGAATAAAACGTATAGTACAATTGCACTCTTTGTGTTTTCGATAAATCGCATCCCTCAAAATGCTTCTCATACGAATCTATTAGTCTGTTCTGGACTTTTGGTATTATATAAAACAAATAATGAATGTTTCTTCGTGCAATGGTAAGAATATTTTCATTCGGTGAAAGATGGAATGTTCCATTCAACTCGGCTGTCGCCTCGTTGAATAGAACATTCCATCTTTCACCTCATGAAAATATTCTTACCATTGCACTCATAAACATTCATTATTTGTATATTATACATTATACAAATAATGAATGTTTTTATTCGTGCAATGGTAAGAATATTTTCATGAGGTGAAAGATGGAATGTTCCATTCAACGAGGCGACAGCCGAGTTGAATGGAACATTCCATCTTTCACCTCATGAAAATATTCTTACCATTGCAAGAATAAAAACATTCATTATTTGTTTTATATAATACCAAAATAAACTAATATTAAAAGGTTTACTGTAAGCCCCCGCCATTTTGGCGAGTCGTATTTGTATTAAATCCCATTTACTGAGTTTCGAATATCGGGTTAAAATAAACTGCGATCACCGTACGAGAAGCATTTTGACGGATGCGATTTATCGAAAACACAAAGAGTGGAATGGAATAAAACGTATAGTACAATTGCACTCGCAAGAGTGCAATGGAACGTATTCCATTGCACTCTTGGGGAATGGAATTTTCTATTCAATATCACGTGATCATAAACCGCCAATTAAACGATCAGAATTCAATAAGGTATTATACTGTATAATTCGTTTTTGAAAATGAATAAGTCTTTCAGGCAATTTGGCCCCATATTATGAAATATCTTAAACATCGTTTTCGCTTTAGTTTTTAATCGTTGTTCTTTTAATGTTTTCCATCCTAATAAATCCAATACAGTTTGCTGATCAACATCGTTCGGTACACTTGCTATGACGCGAGCTGCTCTGTTTTGATGCTTTTGCAGACGTTTACATTGAGTTTCGCCAAATACATCCCATACTTTACAACAATAACTGAAATAGAGTTGGATCAAAGAATTGTATACCGATATGAATGTTTTTATATCAACAAACGTTTTAATTTGTTTGAGAGCATATATCCCAGATGATATTTTACTACATATACTCTCAGTGTTACTTTTCCAAGAAAGATTTTCGTCAACAGTAACTCCTAGAGTTTTGCATTGGAAAACTTGCTTTATTGGTTTATTTAGAATAGTAACTAGTGGTTGGTAATCACTAATTTTTTTAAGCATATGTTTAGTGCCAATTAATTGAAATTCAGTTTTTGCTACGTTTATGTATCGATCAATTCGAAACTTCACCATCCCCCCCCCCGGGCAGACCCCGGAAATTTGAACTTTTTGAAATTTGACTGATCAAATTCTCCACCCCCTGTGCAAAAAATGTCTTCAAATGCCCCACTGTAACAAGAAATTAAGTGTTCAAATGCCCCACCTTCATATGAAAATTTAAATATGAAACAGTAAATACAAAAAGTACAAAATATACGGAAATGTTTTTCGACAAGATAGCGAAATTCACGTAAAAAGTTTGGATACCTTGTGGACAGTTTTACACAATTATGTAGTACATACATACCTTCAAATGAAGCACATAGATTTTGCATGCCCGTTTCTTTGAGCCAGTTTTTCACAAAATTGAGGCCGTTTCCCTCGAAATCTGAGAAAACTGTATTTGCCGCCAATGCGAAGTATTTCTGTGCATGCAGGAAGCACGCGAAAACGAGCAAAATTTTAAGACTTCCGGTTCAAATTCCCCACCCCGTTATCAAATGCCCCACCACATGGAAGACCTAGAACGTCAAATTCCCTACTCCCTGGAGAAGAGTTGAAGTCAAATAGCCCGGGAGGGGATGATAAAGTTTCGAATTGATCGGTACATTAAGCTCAGTTTATTTGCCATAAGCCACTTTGGAAGTCTTTCTAAATCTGAATTTACTGCAGATTCAATATCATTCATGCAATTTCCAGATGCTGTAATGTTTGTGTCGTCTGCAAACATCCGGGGTCTAGTTTCATTTAGACAAGATGGTAGAGCAAAAAGAATAATGGTCCCAATATGGAGCCTTGGGGTACGCCGCATTTTGCAATATTTTCTTTAGAAGTAGAGCCGTTTATCGTCTAAAGGCATTCAAAATTACATCATATCGTGTTTTAATTTAACTACTGCGTCATGTAATGACTGTCTTTTTAATTATGTAATTTCTGTTTGATATTGAAATTCATTTTACAAGCCAAAGAATTGCTGACATTTGTAACGATTATACTTTAAATTTTTGGTAGACCACCCCTATTTGTCCTGACTTTCTCTGCCAGCACCACACCCACAGGCCACAGCATGGCCCCTCCGAATATCTTCTGCCCCACCCTCTGAATATCTTCTGCCCCACCAACTGCCGTAAATATAGCCTGCGAACAGGCTCTCAAGCTGAATTGAGAGCCTGCATCGATGACTAATGAATTTGAATATCTGCGTCTCAAATCGTGACGCGAAATTCTCATTGGTCAGATGCTATAATTTATATGTTTCCGCTGAGCTCTATATATGTCAACTGCTGAAACACTATGCATAAAAAAACACATTAACTGATCATATTGGTCTTGGCCGTCTTATCTCAAAGCACGAAATGTTCTGTTTTGAGAAAACAGTATTTAAAACATTTGAACTTTTGCTTGAATATATTATATTTCGAAAAATAGTATAAACTGTACGGTCTAAATTTAGTTTGCACGGTCTAAATTTAGTTTGCACGAAAGTTGTAAACAACACCATATAAGGATAGACATTCCATATTTGGAAAAACGAACGTTAGGGGGCAGATATTCAAATTCATTAATCATCGATGCAGGCTCTCAATTCAGCTTGAGAGCCTGTTCGCAGGCTACCGTAAATACTAACTCGTCCAATTCATTCATCCCCCGTTGAATGATGGGAGAACAGATGGGAGTATCCATAGGCCTTTGCGTCTTATTCAGTTTGAAAGTCATTATGTTTTTATAACATCAGGTATCTCTTTGCCGCTAGAATTGTATAATATTTATATTTTAGTGATTTTTTTAAAATTGCACAGCAAATTTACTGTAATTAAAAGCATTTTTATTCTTTACAGCAAATATGGGATCAGAGGAACAGGAATTGCTTCAAAGTAAGGGCTAAATGCTTTGTCAATAAAAATCTGGTTCTAAAGACAGAGCCCAATATGGACACAACGTTTGAAATATTATCTGTTGTCCCAAAAGAGCGTTCTCTACATACAGAAAGCATTGACACTGTAATGATGCAACCTGTTTCAAGTGAACCTAAGGCGTGTTTGCCCAAAACACTGAATCCTTTCAAATGTGATATTTGTGGTAAACAATTTAGACTGGTAAGTCGTCTGAAACTGCATGTCAAGATTCACTCAAATACTGGAACAGACAGGTTGTTGTCAAGTGGAGAAAGTGCAACAAGGAGACATAAAAGCAGACGAAATATGGAATCAGGATTCAAGTTCAAAACCCAAAAGGATATGAAAAGCAGGACTAGTAACTCAAATAATCATAAAACCCAATGCCAATCCAAGACTAATGTGAAGTTGAGAAATTATAAGTTAAAGACCCACAAAGATATGAAAAGCAGAGTTATTAATAAGGCAGAAAACAATATCCAGTCCAGACCCAATACAAAGTTGAAAAATTATAAATTAAAAACTGACAATGGCACAAAAAGCAAGGTTAATAAGGCAGACAATAATAAAACTCAATCCAAACAGAATGTAGCTCTGACATTAAATTTGAAGTGCAAATTTTGTGATAAACCATTTGCCACACCTGCACACCTGTCTCGACACACCCGTGTTCATACTGGTATCAGACCTTTCACATGTGAAAAATGCAATAAAACATTTAAAGATGCTTCCGTGTTAACACGCCATCTTTGGATACATTCTGATGACAGACCGTACAGCTGTAAAATATGTAAGAAATCATTCATTCAGAGTAAGGATTTGAAATATCATTTAAGAAGCCACAGTGGTGACCGACCTTACCAATGTGAAACATGCAACAAATGTTTCTCATCAGCATCATACCTTACTGTTCATAAAAGAATACACACTGGTGTAAAGCCATATGTATGCCCAGTTTGTAATGCAGGATTCCAAGCATCTGGTACCTTGGCTCGGCATCAAAGATCTCATTCAGCAGAAAAACAGCACAAATGTAGTGAATGCCCTAAAGCATTTACTCGATCAACAAATTTGAAACTGCACATTCAAGCCCACCATGATGATATATGATTTTTTTGTTTATATTGCAGTACCAAAATATCTTAGCTATTTGACATTTAATATCACTGGAATTAAGTGGACCTATTTGGGCACATCGCAAGACATATTGCTTTTACTCATTTTACTCATCAAAGTACCTGACTGGAAAGTTTGGATATTGCACACCCGAGATTTAAAAAATTTAATAGCAAATATATAGAAAGTATCAAAATTGCATGCCCAATATCTCGGTTGCATGATACAAACTTTCCACACTGGTCAAGGGGGCGGGGGTCTTGTTCTAATAGGTTAGGTGAATGAGTAGTGCCAAAGTGATATCCTCAAAGAGCAGGTTGATACCAATAAATATAAAATGTGTTCATATGCTTAGAAACTATCTGATTTTATGTATTTATGTGACCTAAGCTTGGAAATGGCCAATTCATTTTTGCTTGATAACAGATCCAGCAAAGGATTGTTTATGGTTATCTTTTTCAGTATTGTCAATTGAATTTGCTGCACCTAACAAAAACAGTAACACTTGACTTGCATGAACTTGTGCATACAATAACCAATGGCCATATTGATATCATATTTACAAGACTAGTACTCAGTGCTCCTACTCTCTGAATTATATAATTTTATTACAGAAATACTAGTCAAATTATTATTAATTAGTATTATTTAATTACTATATATGATTATTGTATTGTATATCACTAAGTTTATTTTTCATTATAAAAACAACTGTTGAAAGCTTGTGGTATTTCTTCTATCATGTCTGATGTAGTCATATGACGGTCCTTTTTTTCAAACGCAAGATATGAACATCGTCTTGTGAGACAGCAAGCTGCAAATGATGCTAATAATGTTGCCTTCGGTGGTACAGCACTGAAAGAAAAAGAAGTCATGATCAATGAGAAATTAACATTGTGTCATAGTGGATACTAGAGGTGTGCATCGGATCGGACGTTTATAATCCGACAATTGCCTAATGTTTAAAATCCGATCCGAAATTGTCTAATCCGAATCTGATCCGAGCTTTGATAAATAATTCCAATCCGATCCGATCCGAAGAATTCTTTAATAAAGTAATGCATGAGTCAATTCCAGGAGTAACCATCCCCCCCACCCCGGGGACGATTTTACAGTCGATTTCACGAAACTTTGACCACAAATGTTCCGAACTTCGTTGCGAAGTTCGGAAGCTCATATTGGAATTCACAAGCCAATTTGTAAACAATTAGTCCCTGATTGGTCCGTGAAGTAAAAGAAGCCAATCAAATGCGTAGTTTACGAACTGGTTTGTGAATCTCATTATGAACTTTTGAACTTCGCAACAATCTTGTGAACTTCGCAACGAAGTTCGGAAAATTTGTGGTCA